TCACCTTCTCAAGTAGCTGGGACTACAGGTGCCCACCATGACACCTGACTAGTTTTTCTATTTTTGGTAGTCTCGCTCTTGGGGTTTGGGGTCTCCCTCTTGCTCAGGCTGGTTTCCAACTCCTGAGCTCAAGCAATCGTCTCCCAGTGTGCTAGGATTACAGGCGTGAGTCACTACCGCATTGGGGCCGTTTCTGGGCTTTTCACTTTTTCTTTTTGGTTTGTTTCCTGACCAATTTGATCCGATACAAATTCTGTTTTCCACAATGCTACTTGTCCATGGAGATCATGGAGATTACCTATATGTGAGTAAGTCTCTCAGTACTGCCTAGAATTGACTCTTGTGAAATATTTACATCTCTCTGGTTGACTCAGACTCACACATAAAGAGGGAAATTCAACATGTACAGGAGACAATTTTCTAGTAAGTTGTGAACACAGCAGCTCATAATCTGTACACCACCACGCTATACTTTTTCTTTTTTTCCAAGAAAGCATATTTTATAAAGATGTATTTATAATTACCAAATGTTACTTAACATCCACGAGAGCACAATTGGTGCTATGGTAAATTGGTTTCACACTAAAAGCTAGACTACTTGGGGGAATAAGTTCTTTTCCCCGAAACTCAGAAACTGCTACACAGGAGAAAAATACATTGGCATGTGAATGTCTGATAATGCCAGACTTTAGTTGCTCAAAAAGGGGGGTTATTTTTGAGGTAGGTACTCTTTTCAGATATAGACCCCCCCTACACAATGTATTTTCAGTTAATAAAAATTTGTAAGGGGGAGAATGAAGTGATGCATTTATCTTTTCCTAAATGTGTAATTTTAACAACTAAATTTAATCCATGTACATTGCCATGGCAGCCATTTTCTTTCTCTATGTATTTTCTACACAATGTCCCTCATGTAAGTGGAATATACAGTACTTGTCCTTTTTTGTGACTGACCTATTTTACTTAGCATAATGTCCTTGGGTTCATCAGTGCTGCAACATGTATTGGAATTTCATTCCTTTTTAAGGCCAAATAATATTCTGTGGAATGCATGTGCCACGTTTTGTTTACCCATTGACCCACCCATGGAAACTCTGATTGCTTCCCCCATTTGGCTGTGGTGCATAACGCTGCTGTACAGATAAACAAGTATCTCTTCAAGACCTCGCTTGCAATTCTTTTAGGTATATACCAGAAGTGGAATTGCTGAATCATAAGGTAATTCTATTTTTGATTATTTGAGGAACCACCATAGCAGTTGCACCACTTTTCACTTTTTCATTTTTCAACAGAGCACAAGGGCTCCAATTTCTCCCCTCCTCGCTAATGCTAGTTATTTTTGTTTTGTTTTAATAGCAGCTGTCCTAACAGGTATGAGGTGTTAGCTCACCGTGGTTTCAATTTGCATCCCCCTAATGATTAGTGATGTTGAGAGTCTTTGCTTGGCCATTTGTATGTCTTCTTTAGAGAAATGTTTATTCAAGTGGTTTTAAATTGGATCTTGAAATTGGATTTTTGTTGGCGTTGGTATTGTTGAGTTCTGGTTCTTTATTCTGGATATAATTACCTTATCAGATAACTATTTACAATGACTTTGCAAATATTATCTCTTGTATGTCTCATTTTCATTCTGTTGATTGTGTCCTTTAAATGCAAAGTTTTAATTTTGTTTGTCTGTTTTTCCTTTTTGCCTATGTTTTTCATATCATATCTAAGAAATCTTTGCCAAATCTCATGCCATAGAGACTTTGCCATGTGTTTCCTTCTACAAGTTTTATAGTTTTCGGTCTTACATTTAGGTCTGTGTTCCATTCTGAGTTAATTTTTGTATATGGTATAAAATAAAAATCCAACTTCATTCTCTGCCTGTGGATATCCACTTTTCCCTGCACCATTTATTGAAGAAACTAAAAAGTCTTCGCACCCCTGTTGAAAATCACTTAACCAGGTATTAGAGGGTTTATTTCAAGGCTCTCTAGTCTGTTTCATTGATCTATATGCCTGTTATTATGCCAGTATCACACTGTTTTAAACACTGCAGCCTTGTAATAAGCTTTGAAATAAGCAAGTATGAAACTTCCTTTGTCAAGATTGTTTTGGCTCTTTGGGGTCCCTTGAGATTCAATATGAATTTTAGGATGAAATTTTATACTTCTGAAAAAATGGCATTGAAATTTTGATAGAGATTACACTGGATCTGTAGATCATGTTGGGTAGTATTGACATCTTAACAGTATGAAGTTTTCTAATCTATGAACATGGGATGTCTTTCCATTTATGTTTTCTTCAATTTCTTTCACCAATGTTTTGTAGTTTTCAGTGTAAAAATCTTTTGCCCCTTTGGCTTAAATATTTGTTTTATGCTATTGTAACTGTCATTGAATTCTTAAATTCCTTTGGGATTGTCCATTATTAGTGTATAAAAAATTGATTTTGTATTATGCAACTTTGCTTAATTCACTATTCTAACAGTTTGTGTGTGTGCATATGTACAAGGTCTTGGGTTTTCTACGTGTAAGTCATGTCATCTGTGAGCAGACCTAAGTTTACTTCTTGCTTTTCGGTCAGGATGCCTTTCATTTCTTTTTCTTGCCTGAGTGGAACTGGCGAGAGTAGTCGTCCTTGTCTTGTGCCTGATCTTAGAAGAAAACCTTTTAGTCTTTCACCATTGTGTGTGACATTAGCTGTGCATTTTTCATATATAGCCTTTAGTATGTTGAAGCAATTTCCTTCTTCCCCTAGGTTTTTGAATATTTTTACCAGAATTAAATGATTTTTTTTTAAATACAGGGTTTTGCTCTATTGCCCCTGGCTAGACCACAGAGGTAACATCATAGCCCAGTACAACCTCAAACTCAAGGGCTCAAGCGATCCTCCTGCCTCAGCCTCCCAAGAAGCTGGGAGCACACCACCATGCCTAGCTAGTTTTTCTATTTTTGGTAGAAGTGGGGTCTCGCTCTTGCTTAGGCTGGTCTTGAACTCCTGGCCTCAAGCAATCTTTCTTCCTGGGCCTCCCAAAGTGCTGGGATTATAAGGTGTGAGCCACCCTGCCAGCGCTAAATGGAATGTTTTTAAAAGCAAGATTAAGAATGAAAGCTACACTAAACAATTACTTTCTAAGATGTTATTTTATGTTAACCTTGTAATCTTCATAAGGCATCAAAAGGACCTTCATACTTGTTGTTAAATAAATGACAAACAAGTATTTGTTCATTCAATATCCATTTCTTTGTGAGAAAAAAAATCAGGTAGTGACATGCAACAGACATGCAGAATGGTGACACGTGACATTAAAACACAACCACATAATAGAGAGTCTGAGGGACTATTTTAGATCTAAGAGGAGGTGGTAAGACCTTCTAAGGTGGTAACAGTTAAGCTGAGATCTGATTGGCAGAAGGAAGTAGGCAAGGAAAGAGCATTTCAGGCCGAGGAAATGGCAAGGACAGAAACCCCAAGGGAGAAATAAGTTTGATGAGGTCATGGACTAGAAAGAAGGCCAGTGTGATTAAAATATAGTGAATAAGGGGGAGATGTGTTGAGATGAGGTCAAAGAAAGAGAGGGGTGGTGATTTTGTTGTAACTGTAAAGAGACACGATATGATCGTATATATAAGGCACTGTGTCAGACATACACATGTAAGATATGACCACTGACCTTAAGACAGAATCTTTAAGGCCTCCAATAAAATATATGCTATGGTTAAACTTTGGAAAATACTTGGTTGAACAATCTTAGCCCCATGCCTGTGTGCCTGTTTACACTGATATATGACGATCATATTGCTGACAATGAAAAGCTTTAAAAGAAAACCAGTTATAATCTCATGTTGTCCTTTCCACATACAGTAGAACCTCTGTAAGTTGACCATCCAAGGAACTGTAGCAAACTGGTCAACATACGGAACTAGGCCTACTGTACCAATATGTACATATGGTGCGTGTCCAGTCTATGAAAACTAGGTCAACTTAAGGAGGTGGTCAGTCTAGGGAGGGGGGTCAACTATGGAGATTCTGCTGCATATGTAGTTTTGGGGAGTTTACGTGGGTTGTCTCAATCCATCTGTGTTGCTATAAAGCAGCGTTTCTCAAGGTTTAATACAGAAACTTGGACTGTATTAAAGGTTTGCAGCATTAGGAAGGTTGAGAACCACTGCTATAAAGGAATATCTGAGGATGGGTAATTTATAAAGAAAAGAGATTTATTTGGCTCATGGTTCTATAGACCGTACAAGAATCACGACACTGCCAGCACCTGCTTCTGCTCTTGGTGGAAGGGGAAGGGGAGACAGCATGTTCAGACATCACATGGCGAGAGAGGAGGCCAGACAGAGAGCCTCCTTGGTCCCAGCTTCTTTTTTCTTTTCTTTTTTTTTTTTTTTTTTGAGACAAAGCCTCAAGCTATCCCCCTGGGTAGAGTGCCATGGCATCACAGCTCACAGCAACCTCCAAC